ACGTTATCACAATGATACAAGGCAAAGAAGAAGACCAGTGGACAGCAGGTACTCTTATACAAGTAGAACCCTTCTTTGCAGTTGCTAAACAGACATCAGATCTTGCGACACCAGTATAATTACATCTCCTGACTTCAGGTCAGATAGTTTTACCTGAGCTGTGGTAATATTACTAATACTCAAAACTGTGAAATATATTGCAATAAATGCAAATGAACATTTCTGGTTGTATGAGTAAACTTGCTTCAAATATTAGTGTCTTGATAACTTGTCATGTCCAAAAGGACTATTAGGATTTATCGATATGTTTAAGGTGATCACCAGTCAACCGCAGTCAATTGAATCAAAATTTAAAACCTGTATTGCACCATTTATTTTCTTTGTACTAAGATATTGGTTGATGTCTAAAAAATGGCTTTGGACATACAGACGCACAGATGAGAACCAAAATTAATAATTGGAATAATTGTTGGAATATATATATCCTTAAAAAAAAGAAAAACTTAGATATAATAAAATGCCTCCAGAGCAAAGGTTTTGTTTTCTATGTAATGAACAGGCTATTGGGGATGAATTTCATGTATTACTCACATGTAAAAATAGTCAGATTGTACAAGCTCGTAGTAAATTTGAAGCTGAATTAGCAATTTATGATGACAACATTTGCAAGTTATCAACTCTTGAGAAATTCAAGTGCTTGCTAGGCACTAAAGATAGCTTCATTGTCGATTGCTTGGGAAAATTTATTGATTTTATCTCTAAGCTTTAGTTTAGTCTATTGTTTTTTTTGTGTTTTTCTTGACCATTGATTTATTGTATGTTTTTTTCATTCATTCTAAATTTTGTGTCAAATAAAATATCTATCTATCTATATATCTACCGTACTCGACCGTACTCGATCGCGTTAGCGCCCATGCCCGGGCAAGGGCCCAGCCCCACTTTTGCGCAAATTTTATATTTGGGATCACATTCGGCAAAGCGCCCACCCCTTCAAAATGCAACTAATTTAAAACTTGGTCTTGCATAACGAATCCTGGTAATAGTTTTTATATGATACAGCGTGGATATCGACCGCTGTGAACATGTTGGGAATGCGTGGAACACGGTAACTATGCATAAACTATGCTTCGACAATGACCTGTTAATAAAAGTAAAATGCAGTAAATATTTCATGCCATATTCAGTTTACCTCTCTTTTTGAAAAAACCATGTCGTTTATTCGCTGAAATCAATTCCAACAGATCGTACTTCGACATCAATAATTCATTTCTGTTTCTTCATTGTGAAAATCAATGACGACTCAACTAATTTCGTAATTTGATTTTCCCGCAAAGACGTAATCTGTCATTCGATGAATAAAATTTATCATTTGCACTCTTTTTCGAGGGGGGTGCTCGGGTAAGCGCCCACCCCTAAAAAAATCATGATTTTCTGAGTTGAGGCCCCTGGGCGCTAGCGCGGTCGAGTACGGTATATCTCTCATCAAGTGGTCAAGTCAATGTAAACATGACACCGGGTTAATCCGCTCACACGTTTTCAACAGCGGTTTAAAATTGACATTATTTTACCTTACAATGTTTTTGCGTATCATAGTTAAAGGGACTGGTTAACCAGCAGACGTAATCCAAGCAGTCATCAACATCACAATCCATCATGAGACACAATTCTATGGCTTTATAATACCAGTCACTGAACTGCATTAAAGACAGCCATATATCCAGTAATTCACTAGATTTAGCGGTCTTCTCTCTTACTTTATGTAGTATATTACATATTTGTTGTATTTGGAAGTTGCAAGCAGCGTACAGAAGCCCTACAGAAAACAAATCACATTTTACTATATGGAGTCTAGAGAATATTAGTCTGCATAGTTAACCCTATCAACTCCACGATTTGTTTCCATTCAAATTTTGGTGTTACATTTTCCAGAATATTCTCATTCACTTTCAGACCAAATTGGCCAGAATTTCCCATTGCCAACAAGTGTTGGTCACATTTTTTAAAAAGAATTATGACCAAAAATGCTTCATATTTTTGTGCGAGTTGCAGTTCCAGTTTGTTTGTTCTATTAAAAGCATATTACAGGTATGTCAGTGTGAGACTGAATCACTTCCAATGAAAACATTTTTTTGTTTCATACTGTTTACTGTTATGAGTTGTGTTTCAAATACAACGATTGCAGTATAATTACAAGTACATAGAATATAAGAGTGCATGCTTGTGTGAATTAACATAAAGGCGGCCAGAAGCGCCCTCTAGTGGTGGAGCTTGTAGCAGAGTCAAAGTCATGCAGTGATGTACATTTTTATTGTTTATGTAAATTGTCTACATTTTCACACACTGAACAACATACTATAATAATACATTTATATAGTTATATTTTTAGTAAGATCAAATAAACATGATAAACACTATTTACCAGCAGGCTGTATCTGCATGAGGTGGATCAAAGGCTGTAACACTCTCGGATAGAAACCACTCAGTTCAAAACGAGGCTAAATTTAAAATATAGAAATAAAATTAAGCATCCTGTTTTTAGTGACTGTCAACATTATTGCTAAATAATTATTTACACTCATCTAAAGTGGATCCAGTTTATTTGTGTGATTCATTTCTTTATTCAGCCCATGACACTCATAAAGCATTTCAAGCACGAAAATGTTGATCAGAACATCTTGAATCAGATGCATATGCAAATGTTTTGCATGATGTGTGTGTAAAGTTTGAACATGATTAGTACAGCTTTGTTAGCAATATGGCTCCAAAAACAAATATTCCTGCCGTCAGTCAGCTACTTTGTATCAAATCTGGGAAAGAAAATGACTAGGACACATTATGTTCAATAGACATGCCAAGTTTGAATGAAATATGTCCCTGCACACCCAAAATCCAGTTGTGAAATGGTAGAAATCCTTGACTTTGTTGAATTTTTAGCACTAAAATGGCTGCCATTCAGCCATCTTGATATAGAGAACACTGTAACACTCTTCTTACATACCTCAGTGTTGTGTGCTTTGACTGAATTCATAAACGCTCGATGGAACATACACAACACTCTCACGATTCCCTTATCACCATCACATTTAATATACATAGATCTAAGCAGTCTGTTGACAGTCCAGTAGATTGCTGGATTCTCAGCACAGGCTAAGGGCTGCAATTATATATAGTAAATAAGTTTATAATAACAGTACCGTATTTGTTCTATTTTAAGCACATATCTGATAGAAGCACAGGTAAACATTATACCATATCTAATATAACTTTAATTCTTAATGCATGTAAAGTGCAGTAATAGAATTAATATGGTATTTTGATGAAAGATTCCTTCAATCGGTGGCAATAATGTGAGTTTCAAACATCTGGGATGGCACAATTGAATGTGTGTATGAATGACTAAATTTTATTCCCTAGAACCCAAAACATACATTTATGTTATAAGTTAAAAGAATACCGGTAATTGAAAACAAGGATTGTGGTTAGAGGGGTACAGAAATAATTGAACCACTGTTGTCTAGGCTGTAGATTACAATACAAAATGTAATGCTTCTAGTTTTCGGAAAAGGGTCCCCCTAGATGCTATATGAGAAACTAAGTTATTTCAAGTTGTATGTGGTCATATTTGAGAAGCTAAAATTATTACTGTATCTGAGAAGTGAGCAGTATTCATTTGATAAATATGAAAACAGGAGTCAAGTGATAAAACAAAAATATTGGCAAGACTACTTGTTGAGGGTGCTCTTGCACTAATTACAATGTCAATATTCATGTTGTAAATAGTTTAATCCTGTGTGCGAGAACTATTCACAGGATGATTTACTGACGTTCATGAAAATCACAGTGACACAGCATCACCGTAGTGCTACAAAATTTCACAGAATTTACAGTGAATAAAAACATTAGTACTGTCTGAATATTAACATGTGCTCACCAAAGTCGAGAGTGTACTGCACTGAAAATGTGTTATGAAACCTTGTATGTAAATCTGAGCTTTTGGGGTCCTCTACAAAGTGGAATGGGCCATGGGCAGCCAAAACAAAACAAATTGTAACTGGGGCATGTGATATGATATACTTGATATATAGACCTGTTTTTTTTTAAATAAAGTGTGCAGACCATGTTTAGATGATTTGTTTAATTAGAGTTAAAAAAAACAATGACTGTTAGTTTGGTTTGTTAAATGTGCTGCATTCAGTATAATGAAACAAATCACCTGACAGCATTTATTATATTCAGAATCAAAAGCACAGCTCCAATAGACCAGTAATTACATTAAATATGCACTGGATTATTAAAATATGATTTGCATGTATAATAAGCATACACGTACTTTTAGTCATTTACCTATTAGTGCATGCATTACTAATAGAGCCAAAATTGATCTCCTCTTCAAAACTGACACCATCATTGTGTTGTAAACATTTTATGTAAACAACGTGTTGTATATGACGTATGGGACCCACATCCAACATAACACAAGTCATTGAAAATGACACAGTCCCCGTTAAATTTTGGAAAGTTCTCTTTGTGCTCGTCATATTAAAGCAGAGGGGTTGTCGCAAGCCTGTCTTTGAAACTTGAGTCCCAAGTGGAAATACAACAGATTGTTTATTTACATCAAAACACGTGTTCCTGTGTAGTAGTAATATGGCCAAAAATAAAAACAGCCGTTATTCGTCCATCTTTGATCTGATTATGAAACACACTGTGCCAATACGAATGAAAATGGTACATAAATTGTGGAAATATAGTAGTAAGGCCAAAAAGTCAGATGGCTGTCAATCGGCCATCCTTGACCAGATTTTGAAACAAATTGTCATGGACATGCATCCTAACATGTAAAAAGTACATGTATGTGCCAAATTTGAATGAAAACTGACAGAGCACGCATAAAGAGATACCGCATAAAAAAAACAAAAAACAAGATGCCTGCCAGTTGACCATCTTTGATCCAATTGCGAAATAAATCATCATGAACATGTATCCTAACATGTATAATCTATGTACCAAGTTTGAATGAAAACTGACAAAGCATGTCCAAAATACAACATTTTCAAAAAACAAGATGGCTGCCAGTCGGCCATCGTTGATCCAATTGTGAAATAAATCGTCATGGACATGTATCCTAACATGTATAATCTATGTACCAAGTTTGAAAGAATACTGCCAAAGCATGTTCAAAATACACTATTTTCAAAAAACAAGATGGCTGCCAGTCGGCCATTTTGAATCGAATCGCTAAACCACTGCAAGTGCATATGTGCCACAAAAAGTACTAGGCACATGCAAAGAATGAACGGAATCAGCCCAAGGGATTCTGAGATATGACTCCGGACGGACGGACGGACGGACGCACAGACGCACGGACGGAGACCGAATTATAAGTCCCCGTTTTCGGACTTCGTCCGAACAGGGACTAATAAAGCAATTAACAGCAGTCGTCAATCAACTCACCAGTTGCCTCGACTCAATAAGCCTGATTGTATCCTTTGGACTAATATAAGGTTTGATTACCACTAGCACATCAATAAGGTTACATATCTCTTGTTCTAACGAAGGAAAGAATCTCAGCCATAGATGTACCCTTGCATTGTATGACAAACTGATCACTGCAAATAGATAAAAATTTAGTTTAAAACAGTATAGGCAGACATCAGGTGGCACTCTGAGCTTTTATAGTATATCAATGCTATGATCTTTTCCACCACATTTTTTATTTTGAACCAAATTTTTGAAAACATGCAGCCTGTCGGCTGAGATAGCTCCGCTGTTAGCAATGCACATTGCAATTAAAGAACAGAAGATATCATTAGAAAATGTACAATATGTATAGTATCAAAGCAATAATTAAAGATATCATCACGAAATGAACAAATCTGAGAAAGGTCCACATGTAGTACCTACCGGTATATGTATATTATCAAAGCAGTTGGACTTGCGGTTTTTAACAAGAAGTCGAAAATATTACTTTTTACCAAAAATTTCAAAAATTAGAGAATTAAAGATATCATCACAAAATGAACAAATCTAAGAGAGGTCTACCCAAGGTACATATACAACATGTATCTAAGCATTCAGGCTTGTTGTTTTCTAGAAAAAGTCAAAAAAGTAAAACATTGACACTGACGACGGACAATAACTCATATGATAAGCTCCGCTAGACAAAGCGACAGCGGAGCTAAAACAATTAATTATTCAATTTTATTTTGTGAAAGGTGGCAAAAGTTTACTTTGGTGTTGACAAATATGCAAATTTTACGTTATTGACAGCATTCAGCATCATGGACAACAAGATGCCAACATTGATATCCAATAATGCACAACATGACCAAAAGAGAAACTATTCTTTTATCTCAGTTTACCCTTTTCTTCTTCCAAGTACGCAAATTTCTGTGACTGTGTAACTTTTGTTAGAAACCTTGAGGAGAATTCTTCTCTATCAGAGAGTGAATGGCAGCAGAGTAGTGCAGTGATTAATGGTAGTGTACATTCCAAATCAATAAGTGATATACACATATTTGACACTTCTTCCAATACTTTATTTAACAAGGATCGCTGCGGCAGTAGACAACTACAAATAAACATTTATTTTCAATTTGATTATCTGGTGTGTAATAACTGCATGAGATTGCTAATATGGAAAATGTTTCTCAAATTTCACAGATGACAGCATGTATTGAATGATTGGAAAGAAAGAGAATAATTTGGTTTATATATACTAAAAACAGTATAATCATAATTACATGGAACTAACTCATGGTCAATATTTGCTAGCTACAATTGAAGTTGATTTTCTTTTGGAGGCATTTGGAACAAGTCAATTGAAGCAGTATTCATTTTACTTGACACAAATGTCATGGTTTAGAGAAAGAACATTTGGCAGATTCACTTTCCTTTTCGTGCATCAAGCTTTTCACTTTGGCATTTAGATTTAGATGACTTTGTTGAGTAGTAATTGTTTTTTTGGTAGTTATTTTTTATTGTGAAAGGTGATAAAGTTGAATTTGACTCTCAAAGGCTTAATAGACAATTACTTTTACTGATTTTAAAGTTATCTCTCTGATTAAAATATTGTATTTACTGGTACTATATTAGTAACGCATATGTTCAGGTAAATTACAGGAGGGTTTCTATGGTGAAAATACATAATATTTTACTGTTTCAGCATACAACATTATTATTATACTTTTATTGCTACTGTACTGATAGAAATACTGTATTTCTAAAGATGCAATAAATATTATTATTATTATTATTACAACAAAATGAATGCAATTTTCTTTCTATGCGCTTCTGATAGAGCAACTTCCTCTAGCCAAATCTAAATGTACTTTACCATGGTAACTAGCATATGAATAGCGAAACAATGAAATCTAGTATACTCAACAAAATGAAAAACTAAACAAAGATCAAGTTTTCATCTTATATTTTTTTTAAAACAAGCAACCCATATCAAAAAGTGCATGTGTCAGAACTTACTTAGTTTTTGAACTCCACTTTCTCTCATGTTGTGAATCAAGATCAGACTGTATGGAGTCAATCAGCTACATAGACAAACAAAGAAGAAGTATTATGTGGTAGTACGCGATGTGAAAACCTACAATATACGTAGTGTTATACATGTATATAGAAAGGAGAAATGCGGACCAGGTGATGCATTGTAACACTAGTCAGGGAAAATATGCCGATGGAAAACCTTAAATCAGGTGCATTTGAAAAAATAACAGTAAAATTAAAAGAAATTGTCTATTATTTTCGCGAAAATAATAAAGAATTCGTGAACACAGCCTTAGACTGAAGTGCATAAAGAATAAAAAAAAAAACAGTTGTTGACGTACAATTTACTTCCACATTCACTATATAAATTATACTATAAAAACACTTACCCCAGTATTTTCTTACTAGTCCTGCCTAATAGCTGTAAACTGTATATTAAACTCACCTTTACAATTGCAAGCTGGTTGAAATCATCTGGCAGGTTTCCAGAAATTTCAGTTGCAGTACCATAAGGTTTTTCTGAGACTACATAGGATACTGTGTTTTTTACTTGAGACTAGAACAATTAAACGATTCAAATAATTCAATATTCTGATCATATAGGGAAGACATACTGGACAATACTCACTGCCAGTCACTTGTTTTTGATATATCTTGGTCATGACAGAAAAGCCTGACCACAATGAGGCTATTACGAGGATACTGCGAAGTATGCACGAAGACAGTACAGTTGGAATAGCGACGTGCAGCGGAGGTCGATGTGACCACATACTGAGTCAGTGCATACTTTGCAGTATCCTCAAAATAATCTTATTATTATACACATTTTCCTCCCAGGAATGCATCATGGGAATGCCGAAATCCAAAACGTTTAGAACAGATTTATCAAACTTCTTTGTGTGTGGTCCGGTCAAACCCTGGGGGCAGCCATGTTTGTTATTTATTATTAGAGGACACTTATGCACGTAAAGGTTTCATATTTGGAATTCGTGTTTCTTAATATGGTAGGATGAAAATACCTAGTGCAATACCGCAAAATTACGGCACGCTGTAAATTATAACGATACAGAGACAGATGTATAATAGAATTCATGCAATACCAGCAACATATGATCTCAAATTGGGCATGGATTGTTCTTGCACTACCCTTGAGATATCATACTGTATGTACCCAATGCCCTCAACTCTACCCACTTCACTTTTTGTTTCATAAATGCAAATTATGAAAATACTAGTTATACATCATGTACATAAATTATTATTAAAACACTCACTTACATATGCCCATTTGTTGGCCTTTTCTTCTAACTCATTCTTGGGCTGCTCTGATGTCAGTACCAAAATACACTGCATCAGTATCTTATAAGTGCTTTCTAAACAATCAACAAAATTGAAAAACATTTTACAAATGTATATGTATATTGCTTACTTAACCATTGCATTATTTCAGTGTTGCAGTGTTTTCTACAAATAAAAACAAGTCATGACAAGACAGTAACAAATCTCAGATGAAGTAAGTGTATGGAAGTTACAGATTTAGTTACAGAACCAAAATCCAGTATGCACAATCATTGTATTGTCATGCAAGCTGTCTTAGAGAAACGGTTGTTAAAATGGTGTGCACCTGTAACCCTGTATGAATGATCAACTGTGAGAAATGATGCTAGACACATTTACAAAATGAGATTTAAAGATTTATACAAAATGACCATCATACATAGTCCATGTGTTAATTAAGTTTGAATGTGATCGGTTAAAGCAGTCAGAGAAATGGCTCAGAATGCACAAATGCGATCAAAATCCAATTAATAGTCCCCCATTTTTAACTTTATCCAAAATGAGGAGTAATAATGTAGTTGTAAAATTTCATTGTGATCAGACAATGTATGACAGTAACATGACTTTAGAACAGGATTTGCATTCTGCCATTTTGAATCAGATCTGAAAAAACCATACCATGAAAACTAATAATTCACTTTTAATTTGTGCGCCCTAATTATTCCAAAAAAAATAATTATGAATAACTGTGTTGCAAAACATGATATTCTTTGATTTATACGTCATGTTTAATAAATTACATCAGAAATTCTGTTCACAGTAGTTTCACCTGGCACATGTACATCTCTCGGTTGGAACACTGAAAGTTCGAAGATCACGCCTCTGTTTTTCCTTTATCTGGGTTTGTTTTCTTACTACAACCAAAACACAGACATGCTACCGACAATCATGTGGATATTTGCTCTATTAGTTATTGATATATATTTATTTCAAACAGATGAGCCCATATCAAAAAAAAATAATAATAAATAAACACATTCTCTTATATGAATGACAGATGTGTGACTACAGTCATTATCTATATTCAGATGAATACATGTACTAGAGAAAATTAATTAACCTTTTAACAGGACAACATTATCACAGCACAACCTGCCAAGCAATTGACCAACATTTGGAAGTTGTTGAACTGCATAACTGGTGTCTTTCTGAAAGAGTACAATGTATATTAATTAATGATAATAATGCCACATGATTTTTACAGCGCCCACGAGTAATACAAAAAAGCCCCTAAGTGCTTCACAGTTTGCATTATGGTAAATTTATGACAATACATTTAAACATGATTGTATTGACAAAAATTGCAATAAAAAAAATAAAAAGTTATAACTATTCTTTTTTTCATTGTTATCTGAACACACTACTATTAATATCTTATTTGACCTTGGTTACAACCCCATCCCACCCCCACCCCTCATCACACAAACATATTTTCATGAAGGTGTGACAATGTCATATAAATCATTATCGGATAATTATCGTCTAATAAAATCTAATGAAATGTTGGCATCACTAAAATTTTTAGACAATAATATCGGATAACATTAAAGGGTGGTAGTCGTCACGCCACGAGATATATGGGTCTCATATACACAAAGATGGCAACTTTGACTGTTGTGCAGATTAACGAGTACAAACTAAGACGTTACCAAGCTTTACGGTAATTAGGCATTTATTAGGCGGTTAGAAGGTATCGACGGAGTCAAACCTCATACTTGTGATTTCCATTAGAAGAACGCATTGGATTGTGGGAAATATCAATGTTTGTCAACACAACACAAAAGTTGCACATGCGCAGCGTGACGACCACCGCCCTTTAATTTTTTGGCTCAGCAATGAGTTTTGAGTACATGAGCATATGCAAAATAGCACTTATTACTAGTACTGGTAATTTCACGTATTTAAGAAATCTATATACATTTTATCATACAAAAATTACACACCCATCTCGACAACACATTATGAAGTTGATGCAGAAAACACTCCATTTCCTCTCGACTTGCATCAATTTCTTGATGGTGATCTCCGAAGACCGTCCCAACTTGACCCCAACGTTTTACTCTTTCCAACCAATTATCGACCTCTTGGCTGATATTTCGATAATCATGGCCTTCCACGGGGCCTACAGTCTCCATTCTTTGAAAACAGACAAATCAGGAAGTACACACTAATTCTCATTTCAAAGAAGCGCAGATCGCCGCAAACCAACCGATGTGAATAGCGCCACCTGTGTTGACACAATGCAAAGAAGCGTTCACGGGATTGACCTCTATTTGACCTGTACCTCGTTTTCACTGTGCCGAATAGTCTATTTAGAAATAGGGGTGTGATGTAACGTGACAAGGAATACACGTGTAAATTGAATCAAGTGTCACTTTCTGCACAATTTTGTTATTATAAAATAATTATTAGAATAATTATATTATATGGAAATAATTTTCATGCCTGTTCACAGTTAGTGTTTAGGAGAACTCACGTGTAAATTAGGTATAAAAACCCTACAAACAAGTGAACTTGTTCGGCAAAACTCGTGTTTCTTCGGAAAAGATCGATGTGAAAGGGATCCAATATGGCCGTCTTTGTTTAGTGAAAGAGCGTGAATCGAGAAATTAATCGTATTTTTTTCGGGTAAGTAAGACTTTTTCATTCGCCGGGTCTACTTTATTTTAAAAAAAGTGCGTATTTTGCTGATTTTGCGAGTGTGCTATGGTGTTTGAATTAACGTTTGGCCACAGATATCTCCTTTCCTTGTGTCGCTTTTTGTCCGCCGATCAGACATTACTCACGCCACTGTGTGTACACTGGACTCGGGAAGATTCAGGAAGTTTGCCGGTACCGATTCTTTCTTTGCAAATTTATGTTTACATGTGTACAGTTTAACGCATGCAGCAGAGAGATGCATATAATTTGATTTGATTGAAAGTCAACTTGTAGTTGAATTTCCATAATCACCACAGAACTGCGAAAACAACAACAACAATGTTCGGCGAAATCTTTCTTTCTCACTCCAATAGATTATGCTTCGGGCCGGTGTTCTATCATCTCAAGTTTTTGAATAGATGTGGTCAAGACAAATAAAAAATATTTAAAAACCACATTATGGACAACGTGACGGATAATTTTGTAATTTAAAATTACAAAAATAAACCCCATTTCATTGGCCCTTCATAAGGCATAAAAAGTAAAGTTTCATAACTTCTACCCACCGCTGTTTTGAATTGGCCAATGGACATTCTAGAATTACATTCAGTTACAAGAACAATTTGATTTCCCAAAACTTGCTAATTTACTACAGCCAAGATACATATGTATAAGTACATGTGTTAGTTAAATCGTGGTCACATGATGATCATAGCACCACCAATAGTTTGCGCCCCTGGTTTATAAATACGCTGTATTAACCATCTCATGACCATGGTTTAACTAAGTAGTACGTAAGTGATGTCGTTTTATGAGGCAATATCTACATAAATAACAAAATTAAATTATTCCAGGAATATCAAGATGGCAGAAGACCCAATGGGAGGTCCAGTTGGGCCAATGCCAGGACCACCTCCTCATCCTGGCATGCAAGCACCTCAACCAAATATGCCTACTCAGCAACAAGGTCCTCCTGGGCCACCACAACAAATGCCACACGGCCCACCAAATCCTGGTCCAGCTCCTAGCCCAGGGCCATATGGTCCACAAGACAACATGCAGTTGTTGCAGCGGGTAAGTCTAATTATGTTCAACATGTCAAAATAAAAATGGTTCTTGGTTTCTGTTTGGGTGATGGTAGTATATTTTGTTTCACAAGAGTGTCCACTTTTAGGCTGTGCAGTGAGTATGAAAGTCACTATTATTAAGACTATTATGTGAAATAGTTGATAGCAATTTTTGCTTTTTAGGGGAAAAAAATAAAGATAGTAAGATTCTGTAGGATCATGTTCGAATGGAAAAAAATTTACTTTGAACAGACATTTGTGTAACTGATGAAACGTAACAATAATGTAATAATAATTGTCAAAAAATATTACTGCGGTCTGCCATACTGTTTCTGACACCAAAATAAGCAACATTACCAGCTATGCTGATAGATTTGTGAAGTTCTGGGTATATCTGGGTTTTAATATAGGGCATTTAAATATTGGGGAAGTAAGAGAAAATGAAATCCAGTGAATAGAGAATACAGCATCTATTATATCGACTTTTTTGATTTTATGATATTGAATACACAACTTTTCGCACTTATAGGCTTTATCATCTATGGAAGAAAAAGGCATGCAGAATGATCCACGATATAATCATCTTGTTGCCGTGGCAAACAGAGCTAAACAGCATATACCACAGCATCCTAATATGGGACCAGGCCCACCTATGGAAGGTCCTGGACCAGATCCATCCCAAGGTAACACTAATGTACTTCAATTCCTAATGCTAATCACCTACTTCCACAGATTGCAGTACTATTAATACAATAATGTACAAAAGTTTGGCGGTTTGAATCTAACCAGCTATATGTCGTTGTATCTTTAGGCAATTTCCTCTTTCTGTGCTTCTGTCCATCTAGCAGTAACTGGGTACCTGATGCATATGCTCTGATTATCTTTGAGATTATCTTTGACTTTATGCTCCTGATAATTGTGGATGATTCCACAGATTGATTCATTTGACCAGGGGTATTAATGTATAAAAATACTATTATAAAAACTTTCTGTAAAAGAAGTCAAACCTACCAAATGCTCCCAGTATTGTGTGAATATAAATATATTGCACTAAACAAAAACATAAATTTTTACTAAAGGTAAAATGGTTTTAACCACAGTAGCTTACACTTTGATTAGTGCTGTAATGTCTTTCTTAGCCAGCTTTGAACTTGTTAGGCATTTGGGCAAACTGGAAAAAACAATATGATACGAAAGATCACAATATTGTAAGTCCTTGTTCAGACAAGGTCTAAAAAACTGGGAATCATGAATTGACCGTTTTGAGTGAGTGTGTGCATCTCCCACCTGTAACTTGGACACTCAAACTCACACATGCACCATACATCTTGGGATACATATGCACCGTCAATTCATAATTCAATTCAAAAACGGGTAATTTTAGTATTGAAAGTTCCCCAAAATCAAGCATTTTATGCCATTTCTGCATGTTGGTTGGGTGTATGTAATCTTGCTTAAAGCAGCAGTAGGTGCAAAATCATGTTTATGGGTATGTGAACCTATTTTTATTTGACTTAAAAAATATTGTAAAACATTTTGATTTTGTGAGAGACACATGTTTGCACATTTTGTGAGTTGATAGAAATGGTATTTTGTTGTACACTAGCAGTGATGATTTCAAAGAAGTCTACAAGTCATACAGACTTCCACAAAATGTTGTCCCCATGACCCCATTACGATAAATCAACAAATTAGTATTCTCTATTTTTTTGTTTGTTCATTGTTAGTTGGTTATGGCGGAAACATGAATGGCAACAGACCTCAGCATGTTCAGGATCCTCAACAATCGCCACATCATCCACCACCACCACCACAACAACAGCAGCAGCAACATCCGGGTATGACCGGACCACCCAAACCAACCCCATTCAATCCAGTACAAGTCCATCAGTTGAAAGCACAAATTATGACTTACAAATTGATGGCAAGAAATCAACCAATTCCTGAAAACTTGCGTCTGGCAGCACAAGGTAGACATTCACAAATGCCACCACAGCAGCAGCAGCAGCAACAGCAGCAGCAGCAACAGCAATACCAAAGACCACCAGGTAATAAATAACAATACAAAAAAGTAAATACTATTTCTGAAAAATTTAATGGTTTTTTATAGTTCAGTTGGAAACAAAATACTTCTGTTTGTATCCAAAATTACTAACTTGTTACAGATACCATATTTGCTCTATTTAGCAGTGCATGCACTTATGATTTTTTTATGGTCAAAATAAATTTTAATGATTTAGTATACTGCCAATGCGATTTTTTTATTTATGTACTCTTTTATTCTTCTGATAGAGCTAATATGGTATGTGAATTAGATAACTACCATTCAATTATATTTTAAAGACCTGTGTTGAGTTTTTTGACAACAATACATTCATTGCAAAGTACAATGTTAATTTGTTTACTTTGCTTATTTTGCTTCAAATAATTTATGTGGCAGTTTTTGAGTTGTAGTTTACCGATTCACACTTGTCACCGCATACCCTGTATTCTGGAATAAGCATTATTAGCTACAAAAATGTAAATTTGAATCTAATTTAGGTGTTAGCAAAGATTAATTAAACACTGCCCCTGATTTAAATACTTACTGTAGGTGTTTTTGAATAATGTCTGAGATCATGATGTGTAATTTGGCAGTAACATACAATGACGAAAGCCTTGCTTAGACTGTCATTTGGATGAGTTAGTTTTGCTTGTGTAATGCTGAGTTTCTCAATGCTATGTATAGGAATGGCCGGACCAGGTCAGATGGGTGGTGGACCAGGTCAAATGGGTGGTGGACAGCCAGGAAATGGTCCACAAGGCCCTTATTTTGAGGGAGGTCAACAACAGTGGGGACCACAGAAAAGTAAGTGATAATTGCATGTCAGTTGTAGTATCTGGTGATCTCTAACAACACATCTATAACATCACTTCAGTGCGCTTATCCTTATTGTGGAGTGTGTTCTCGCTAATGGTACATCGCATATATTCCATGTTTCACAGCATTTTGTCAAAAACACTACAACCCTCATCGCTAAACCAACATAATTCTTCATGGGTGTCTGCAAACATCACATTGTATTGCATTGTATCTTTCAGTGGGTGCCAACAGAGCAGGAGCTACACAGGGGCAAAAAATGTTTAATTCACCACACAAACAACAACAACAACATGGTTAGTACACTGCTGGGTCTGTCCACCGGTGATGCCTGCTATTCAAAGTTGAACAGTTGCTCTAAATGTTACTAACTAACATCACTTAGTTTCACACAATAACCATTGCCGCTGGCAGCTAAAGTGCTTTTCTCGTGTGTTGTCCATATAGTACCATGACTGTTCCTTGGAAAAAGTATGACAAAAATATGGTTTGTCTGTCTACAGCCTTGGTTTTTGTTTTCTTGAAGCCCATAAAGCATGGGGTGAATTCTAACTTTGAAAATTTATATAGCTAGACAGACATGTCTTTTATCATGAGAACAAATTTAATTTTGTATGTTTATAATTACTTTTCAAATTTGTCTAATCATGTTTCATAATTGTAATATGCATCCAGAAGAGCACTTGGTGGTTCTGCCATTCACCTAATCATGTGTAAGTTGTCATATAGTCATTCATCTATGTTTTCCTTACCTGTTCTGTGTACGTGATTGTGGTAATTCTCATCGCTAACTGGTTGTACTTTGTGTTTCAGTCCTGGTCAGTTTTTGTGTTTGCAGCATTTCTTGCTTACTTTTGGCTGTGATAATTACAAATAACATTTCTCTCCTAGCACCGATGCCTGCTCATCTCCCACCACAACAACCACATCCGCAACAACAACAGCCGGACACTGAGCAAGATCACCAACGTCCCACTGCACCCACAAATCAACAAGTTCCAACAGTTATGACGCTGCCTCCAAAACAAAACCGCTTCGCACCTGTCGGTAAACCTCAAGGTATTGATCCAGTGGATGTGCTTCATGAAAGAGAACATAGAATGGCACAGAGAATAGCATATCGCGTCCAGGAATTACAGACGCTGCCTGGTTCTCTCCCAGAAGATCTCAGAACCAAGGCCATGATAGAGCTTAGAGCATTGAGATTGTTGAATTTTCAACGACAGGTGAGGAATAACTTCCAGTCGCATCAGCTATAAATTATTATTTTTTTTCCTCTTGTAATACATAATTTTACACTACTTCTCATCTGCTATCAGCTCAGATAGAGCATAGTGTATCAACTTGTGTGACAAACACAGAAGGAAATTGGACTGCTAGCTTACATGTAGTACAGTATAAAAGACTTGTTGCTGGGCATCTAATAGGATTGGCCCAACTGTGATGCAGTATTTACACTAAATGTTGACAAAACTGATTCTAGAAATATTGTGTAACTATATTGTGTAGTTTGAATGAGAAAGAACAGCGATAAATGTACTTGTGATTATATTGAGATTGGAGTTCTTCCTATCACAAAAATGAAAAATGTCTTCCTATTAATGTTTTCTTATTATATTCGGGGGAGGGAGGGGGGTGTAATTCTGCATGTAAAACCTCACAATATAATAACCCAAGAGTTAATTATAATATGCCATACATATTCATGTATTGTGTTCACAGTTACGTCAAGAGGTAGTTACCTGCATGAGGCGTGATACAACTTTGGAGACTGCCCTGAACTCAAAGGCGTATAAACGTAGTAAGCGGCAGACATTACGTGAAGCTCGAATCACTGAGAAGCTGGAGAAGCAACAGAAAATGGAGCAAGAAAGAAGAAGACGACAAAAACATACGGTAAACCGAAATATAGTATACAGCACCAAATCACTAAGCTACACATCATGGCATGTTTTCTCATTGGTCAGGAACATTAACACGAGGGTGTTTTAGTCCCCACTTGGACATAGTCCACACCTGTATTTCAGACATGTCTGGGCATATTTCATTCAAACTTCACACTCACATATGCTCGTGTACGTACGTTTCATGGTCAAATTCTTGATGGCCGAATGGTGGCCATTTTAGTGCTAAAAATACATCAAAGCTGGTATAATGACCATACATATTGGGAAACAGGTACAGATCATTTTTTGTGTGATTCATCCAAGTATGGTCTATTGGTAGCCATTTTCTATTTTATGGTGTGCATCCCAGTTCCTTTTGAATGTAATGATCATTCGCCTCAGTTTAATCTTTGAAAGTGCATCGATGAAATACGAATAGATACATTTGTGCTAAGTTTGATACAATGCATGTTAAATAGTGACTTGGTATAATGACAAAAACAAATGAAAAATGACCAACAATGCATCATTTCTCAAACATACTTTGATTACCTCTTAAACATTTTTACAGTGTATGTTTTTTTTTGTCATGTCTTATTTCAAGCACATAAAGACAATGTTAACAAAAATCTGACGAGACTGTTTCCATTTTCATTGACTTGTTTTTATAGGAGTATTTGAATAGTATTATGCAACATGCCAAGGACTTCAAAGAATACCATCGTAATGTACAGCAAAAAACAAATAAAGTCAGCAAAGCAGTGCAGGCCTACCATGCCAACACAGAACGGGAACAGAAAAAAGAAAGTGAGAGAATCGAAAGAGAAAGAATGCGTCGACTTATGGTAGGTGACAATGTTTCTCTAATATCCCTTGTATTCTGAATGTTTTTTGGTGAGGACTATCATGTGGATACATGTGGTATGTATTTGCTCTATAAGATGCACACATTATTAGATTATTGAAATACAACCTGAGCATAAACACACTTCTGTAGGCAGGTGCTGCTGATACAGCAAATACAGTCATAGAGTTTTGTTGACTGAAGGTCATCCTTCTGATGCTTAGGAAATATGAACAAATTTGTCTCACCCAAATGATGTAAATTTCATTAGTCCCATTGTTATTATGGGGTTGTTACTCATCTCAGACAGGAACTTTCATTTGTATGTACGTTCATTGCATCCATCTATCGTCATTTCTCGAACATGCCTTGACCAATTTGATTCAAAGTTGGTACTTCCACTCATTTCTCAGATATACTTTCTCAGATTTTATTTAATAATCTTTAGTTGTTGGGTGGTTTTGATGAAATTCAAGGACAGCCATTTTTTTCCATAAAAAACTGAAATAATAAAATGTTAACTGTTATCAACTATTTTCCAGCCACACTAGGGCCCTTTTAATTAAACTTGTGATTTTATTCAAAATGGCAAACTGTGTTATTAACCATCTCTCCAACATGCCTTAACAGCTTTTGTTCAAAACTGTCACCAGGACAAGACATAATTTTGTGTCCTTAAATTTAATTCTGCAAAAACAAATGTCATCGACTTGTTAATCATTATATCGTGTGTTTTGTAGGCGGAGGATGAAGAGGGGTACAGGAAGCTGATTGATGAAAAGAAAGATAAGCGATTGGCTTACTTGCTTACTCAGACTGATCAATATATCGTCAGTCTAACAAACCTAGTAAAAGAACACCAAGACTCGCTGAAGAAAAAGAAACAGAAAAAAGTGAAAAAGAAGAAGCCAGAGGGGCCAGATGTAAGTATTTATTTTCTAACAATGCATTTGCATATTTCTTGCTACTCTTCGAATTTTAATGAAATTTGTTCAAGTTTATTAACCTAATTTGCATAATATTTAGCCACTTTTCATTACTTTATCTCAAAGAGCCACTCAACGGATTTCAATGAAACTCAATGCTGAGATGCTCTAGGTTAATCAACAGACGGATTAGTGTAGAAATCATTGAATATTAATTACCTATATGTATATGTACATTTTGTTGTGGAAAACGAGCTGTTTAAATTATATATAATAAATATAGGATTATTCACAAAAATATTGGAATTTATGTGCGAGGTAAGGTATCTGTCATCTCAAAGTTATATTTATTTTCTCATTGAAGATGATTGACGAAAGCAGCCAGTTCAGCGATATTCCAGTGAATGTGATTGAGACAGCAACAGGACGATTGCTGCTTGGAGACGAAGCTCCAAGAGCCAACCAATTAGAAGCCTGGTTAGAAATGAATCCTGGTTATGAAGTTGCACCAAGAGATGATGAGGATGACTTAGAAAGTGGTGAATCAGGCGAGGTAAATACCCTCTCACTTTAGTGTCATAAAGTTATAAATTGGAACTGCATTCATTTATGTAAATGACCTGTCAGATGAATAAATCAGTGTCAGTTCAGTGTACTTAAAATTCCACTCAAACTAAATTGCTTGGCTCGATTCATACAGTTCTGGAGTTTACTGTAAGGTCCTGCAATTTGAAAGGTGTTCTTGACAGTCCTGGGAAAATAAACAGTCATTATAGAAAAAAGCCTTTACTGTTGCAAAGTGATCTAATGATATCATTAAATTTGGATGATCAGAGTAAAAAGTGACTGAAGTGGAAATAAAATATTCTTGGAAAACTGATAAAAAATGTCTAGGATTTTATTTTATTTCTGGTGTATGAATCCTGTTGTCTCTAATAGAGTAAATGGTGTCTGTACAGTTGAGAAATTCTCTTTTGTCATAATTAGGTTTCCAATGTTTTCAATTATATTATTAATAGCATTCTACTTGTGTTAAATAACAAAAATCTTGTCATCAAAATTGGATAATGTCAATATAATTTGATTGATGAGAAATGCAGTATTGACCCAAAGCATTCAAGTGTAGACTGTTCCACTTTTTGTGCAAACATAGTTCTGTCAATGTTTGCATCTTTTGTTACCTTAGGTGCAAGATACTGTAAAGCCATACATTTTCACTGACATTTAATTTCACTATTACATGTAATTTCACGAGTATGGAAACAATGAGCTATATTGTTATTTTACATGATTACGGGGATTGAATTTAGTCAATTATATTTGTCAGCGAAAATAGTGAAATTAAAACCCAGTGAAAATTGACCTTTTTTGAATATAATTTGCTTATGTACCTTAGTTGACCTAGTTTTCATCCTTAAAGCATCATCTGTAGTCAGCATCTGATTTCTGGGTTTCCTTATTGTTATCGAAGCACTGTTCAATACTTGTTCAACAGTGATTTGTCATTGTGTGATGGTGATGTCTGATTTGACCGTAAATTGAAGAACCATATCGCTAACAAAATGAGGGGAAAATAGTTTGATAACAACCCAATACTGCATTCTTATTTAGGATGATGAAGGAGGAGATGGTGAAGATGAGAATGATGAAGATGAGGACGAAGATGGAGAAGAACAGAAATTGCCAGATGAAGAAAACAGAACTGTTATAAAGTAAATATATTTTAAATTGTTGACAGTCGTCTCACAGCATGTGTGTAAATTTCGTATAAACAGACAATTTGTTTTCATATGTAGTGTGATGATTATTGCTCTTCCAAAGTATTTTAATTGTGGCCCAGCAGTCGTGTGTGTGGCGACATAACTGGTGATGGGTCGTCTCAAACCACTTCTTACAGATCTGCCTTGGAAGATGACGAATACAAAGTGGTAAATCCTGATGTAACAGAGTTTGCCACATACTATAATATGGCACATAGAATCCAAGAAGAAGTAACTAAACAACCAGACATGTTAGAAAATGGCACTTTGAAAGCATATCAGGTAATCAGTTTGCAAAGTATTTGTCTCTGTATGTTCTACAAACCACTGTAAATGATAAATTTTACTAACTGAGGGTGGTTATTGCGACTTCCCTGTCTCAACAAATGCTTTTCTGGAGCCATATTTCTGACGTTTCCTGACTGATCATGTTAAAACTTGTATACATCATACACCATGTCACACATATGCGCATTTGTTTACAAACGCATATTTTTAATGAGAACTCTGTCATATGACAGTCACTGATTTACTGGATTAGAGCAAAACAGATTAAATAAGGTATGTCCTGTGGTATCCCATGGTGCATTGGGTCGTTGTAATTGTAAATGTTGTAATTTTTTCAGATCAAAGGTCTTGAGTGGATGGTGTCTTTGTACAACAACCATCTAAATGGCATATTGGCTGATGAGATGGGCCTGGGTAAGACTATACAAACAATTGCTCTGGTTACATATTTAATGGAGACAAAGAAAATGACTGGACCGTTTCTTATTGTTGTGCCACTTTCGTAAGTAATAAGTTTAACATTATGTCAAAGCCCTGTAGCAAAATAATTTATTTCCATGTAGCTAGTACCTTATTTTTGCTTCAACATCTCAAACTATAATGGGCTTCAATGTAGAATCTTGAATTTTGTACTGTAGAATCTTGAATTTTGTACTGTAGAATCTTGAATTTTGTGTGTTTTAACCAACAGTTTTGAATTATACTGTTACACATCAGACTATTCAAATTCAAATAAAAATGATGCATCTAAATAATGAAATTCAGCTTTTTTTTTACTCAGATATGTGGAAATGAATGAGGACCCAACTATCAAACTACAATTGGCAACTCATTCATCTTATGTTTTTAGTGTCTGTCAGATTCAGTCTGAAACAAGGTTTTTGGTTTATTCCATCTCCTGTGGAAATTTGTTTTGAAACTGTTTCTCATGCCATTCTTATTCTCAAAAACTATAGTGGTGTTTACTGAAAATAATTTGTTCTATGTATTTGGCCCATGTAGTAAAAATGACAAATTTTGAATGTTCATTCAGCCAAATACAGTGGCGAATTATGAAATTGATAATTTGTCTAAATGTGTGCTATGATAGTATTGCTCCTGGGGAAAGAATCTCCTCATGAACATATACTCAGTTATAACTGTTATCAGCTTAATAATAGTAGGTTCACATTTTCTTTCTAGAACGTTATCAAACTGGGCCATGGAGTTTGATAAATGGGCTCCCTCTGTGATTAAGATTTGCTATAAAGGTTCTCCTTTAGTACGTCGTTCTCTCATGTTCCAGCTTCGTGGTGGACGCTTCAACGTACTCTTGACGACATATGAATATGTTATGAAAGATAAAGCCACACTAGCAAAGGTGAGTGTTGGTTGGTAGTTTTTTTTTGTATATAGCCTTGATTGAGCCATGTTCTTAGCTGGTTGTTGCTTGTAATGTGAATGAAGGTGATTGTTCAGTTTGCCAAATACTGTGTCCATATGGTATGTTTCTGTACTTATTTTCAGAGAATTAGTCTATTAAAACATTTATTCCTTTCAGATTCGTTGGAAGTACATGATAGTGGATGAAGGTCACAGGATGAAAAACCATCATTGTAAGCTAACACAGGTGTTAAACACTCATTACATGGCTCCTCATAGAATTCTGCTAACTGGCACACCTTTACAAGTAAGTTGAGTCATTTCACTCCATTCATAGAGCTCACATTAAACATATTATATATATCTTATTGTTGTAAGCTTACATAAAAGGTAAGCAATGTAAATATAAAATGAAAGTAAAATTTACTCACTTGCTGACTACTGACATGGATCTCTTTGTTTCCACAGAATAAACTTCCTGAGTTGTGGGCATTGTTGAACTTCCTCCTGCCAACAATCTTCAAGTCTTGTAACACATTTGAGCAGTGGTTCAATGCTCCGTTTGCCACAACTGGTGAGAAGGTAAGTCAATTTGGCCCTCTGGTGTTGGCACTAGGTATCCAACCCTTGACCAATAATCCAAATAATATGTTGAAACGACCATATACTGTCTGAGTGCATACTTTGCGGTATCCTTATAATAACTTTATTGTATTGTTACCAGTATTTAAATTGCCTGAATACGTTCAGATTGGGCAAGTGCATGTTTGTCATTAGATAGACTAGATACAAGAAATTTTTGTGTTTATGAATGAACCCCCCCGAACATGAGTAACACATAGTAGGGGTGAATCATACTGTCACCTGAATCAGGAAAAATATTATATCGTGCTACAGATATTAGAGCATAATGACGAACATTATGACCCTTGTGTTAAAAAAAAAAGATGCATGAGAAAATAAATTTTTCAGAAATACACAACTGACACCAAAAAGTGCAGTGGCTCCCTTGTGCATCTGGAAGTTTTGTTGATCCTTAATATTGAATCTAGCGCATGACACTAGAGGCTGTATTTTTTGAAATTATGTTTATATGAGGTTTTTTTTTTATCTATTCACTAATAAGAAAATACACTTGATGTATCTATAATCACTGTATCACTTACTTTGGATTCTGTATTACATTTGTTTTTTTGCTTCTTGAAAGTTTTTTTCCATGTCTCAGAATTACATTTAAAATGAAGTTGGTATAAACAACCGCTGCATTTGGTTTTACCATTTAATATATGTACTTGCATGATCATTTGTTATGAATTTTGTTAATACAGGTGGAGTTAAATGGTGAGGAGACTATTTTGATTATTCGACGTTTACACAAAGTCTTGAGGCCATTCTTATTGAGGAGGCTTAAAAAAGAAGTGGAATCACAGCTGCCAGAAAAGGTCAGGCATTGTTTTGCAGTCTGTTTAATTATTACGTTCAAAGGATCCTCTACGG